TACATACATACATACATACATACATACATACATACACTCATCTGTCCACAATCTTTCCTCTTTTAGACCCACAATTCTTGATAACTTGCTGTGTTTCATGTTGCACATGGAGTTACAGAAGACACTTTATTCAGCATAGAAGTTCTTCTTCCTGATGTCTTAATTAACTTTCTTCTCCTCCCCTTCTTCTTTCTTTGCTTTCTTTGTCTTCAGTTTATCAATTCTGCCACCATCACCCATTATCTGATTTATACAAAGTCTTACAGGTAGGTCCTCCCTGAGAAAAAGTGTGTCCCAGAAATAGTGAGAAGGCCATAACTTTCCCATCTCCTCCCTCACCCACACAGCCTAGATGGAATCCATTCTCTAGGAGTTGGAAATATATCTGCTAAACAGATTCTCTGCCATTATTCTGTTACTCCATCTCAGAGACAGTACAACGTGGTGAATGTAGACCCAGCAGTGTAAATCTTATAGGAACACAAAGATCTGTTCTGTGGGCCCTGCCTGTTAGTTAAATAGGATCAAGGAAGACGAGCTTGTGGAAGAATCTGTGAAGATAGATCTTGTTAGAGAGCGGATATTGTTTGAACTTTTACATATGCAAAATGCCCATGTTTTGCCATTTTCTGTATAGATAGGTACAAGCATCTTCCTACAGCAGCTAGAAAACTGCGGTTCCTTGAATTGCAAAAAGAGCTGGTGGATGATTTTAGAATACGACTCACTCAGGTCATGAAGGAAGAAACCAGGACACCTCTGGCCTTCCGATACTGTGCAATCCTAAATGCTGTCAACTACATAGCAACAGTACTAGCCGACTGGGCGGACAACGTTGTAAGTAACATGGTTACTGTAGCCGTTTGTGGATTGTTGAAATAAATTTAAGCATTTTTAAGATACAAAGCAAAGTCTGTTTCTTGCCAATACAGAGCTGCTTTTCCTATTCATAGGAATAAACACACTTTTAATTTGTAACACATGGAGTGCAGGAATACAGGAAACTACTTTATCCCAGGTTCATTTAGTTTAATATTTACCCCCCAATGAGGGGAGTCTGCTGCTTGTATGCATTAATCAGTAAAAAGAGACAGAGTGCCGTGAAAGCACCTCTCTGATTTCATTCAGGAAGCAGAAGTGTTTTATCCTCTGCCCTGGCAGAATGCTTTTCATATTTTTAAAAGGCATCCCTTTAGTTTGTATCTGACTGGTGCGATAGATGAAGTGTGTCTCTTGGTGGGTTGGTGAGGAAAGCAGAATCTAGATGGAGTGGGGTAAGAAGTTTGTATATAATAGATATGGGTTGATTATGATCTTACGAGTCACTGGATCTGTTTGAAGAATGTACTCCATTAACCACTTTTCTGGGTGTGAGTGGTATGCTGAATATGGTCAAGCTGAAATATGGTTGGCTGTGATTCAGTTTGTCGTGAGACACATAGCGAATTACTCATAAAGTTACTCTCCCCGTCCCATACCCTTTCTTTTTCAAGATTCTTAATAGTTAAGAACAGCGTGGGAGATAATAGTATTAATCCTGGAAGCCACTCAGTCTCCAGAAAATGCAGCAGCGCAAAAGTGGCATCTAGGGCAGTGTTTCTCAACCTTGCCAACTTTAAGGTGTGTGGACTTCAACTCCCAGAATTCCCCAGCCAGCATGGCAAGGTTGAGAAACAGTGATCTAGAATGTGGAATGGCTGTAGCTCCACCTACTGCCAGCCTGTGATTAGTAAAGACTTGAGGATGTCAGCTGGAAAGAGGTTCCCTCTTCCTGATCCACACTTAACGTTCGAGATTCTCTTGAGACTTTTCATACCCTGCTATTTGCTCCTTTTACTAAACTGGAGGTGTCAGAGCTCCTGAATACAAAGCATATGCTCTTCTGACAAGTTAAGATCCTTATTCTCAGGAGACTAGTGGTAATCCTCCCCCCCCCCATATTACTTGTCTGTGCAGTTTTTTTTACAGCTTCAGCAGGCTGCTCTGGAAATGTGTGCAGAGAGTAGCACTCTGAATAAGCTACAGTTAGGACAGCTGGCTTCTATGGAAAGTTCGGTGTTTGATGAAATGATTAACCTCCTGGAACGACTAAAGCATGACATGCTGACTCGCCAAGTAGATCATGTCTTCAGGGAGGTCAAAGATGTGGCCAAGATATATAAAAAGGAAAGGTAAAACTTGGCTTCTTCTAATCGAAAGCTTTAACACGTAGTTTTGCAGGTGGGAGAGAAAAGCACAAGAAATGCCTGTTTATTTCCCCTCTGCTTTTCTGTCTGAAGGATTTTCAAAGCCTAGTCCCACAAAATCTATCTGATGAATTGTAAATGTTGCTGATAACAGAATTCTAAATAAAAGGGTGGAAAAATCATTGGGAAGTAGTTGTCCCCTTCACAAAAAGGATGTGGTTATACAATAGCTGCAAAAGATGGCAGCACATTGAAGAGGCAACTGAACCAGGGGATGTTCTTTTACATTTCCCCTTAAATTATTCTTGACTGATTTCAAGAACCTCTCTCTTTTTGAGGATCTCATCCATTTCTCTGATCTTTCTCAGTTTCCCCTTTCTCTCAACCCATTCACTCTTCCTTCATATACCTTTTTGCAATTCAAATAATTCATTACCAAAACTTCATATACGCTGGTAGAATATTTGTTAAAAGTAGGAAAAATGAATGGAAAGTTCTAAGATGTGCATGTCCTGGCAAAAAGGCAATACCAAAAGAAGAGAGTATCTGTAGCTCAGGGTTGAACGGTGGAGTCCTTGGTGCTCTCTGAGCCTGGTTGTTTGATTACAGACCTTTCATTACCCAACTAGGTAACATCATCAGTGTGAGTGAGCGTGGGGTTTGCTCCCTGTTTATATACAGTAGCCTGCCCTGCCAGTGTGGGTGGGGATGTGGTTTTCTCCTTGGTAGTTCCTTGATTAGGGTATTACCCTAACTGGATTTTGACTACTCTTCTGTGTGCTCCTGTTGAAAGCAAAACCACCCAGGCAAGCTTTCTTTCCAAGAGACTTGATTGATTTACATTTCTTCCCTTGTCACTGTTGTCTGCTCAGCCTTGGGTAAATTGCTTTCCTCACCTAGCAGCTGTGTCAGTGGTTGTGTGGTTTCACTTTCAACTGGAGCATACAGAAGAGTGGTCAAAATCCAATGTGAAGTTCAGAGAGCCAAGTCAGGTTTGTCAACCAGTCCAAGGCCAGAAATTCACAAGCAAGATTCACAGGAATGACACACTAGAGCAGGAGATCAGACGGTTGCTTCCAACAAGGCATTATGGGTCAGGGCTGCCTCTTAAATTGGGCTACAGCCAGCTGTCTTTAATCAAGGGATTTACTCCCTTGCTTGGCAAGGAGCCTCATAGAACATCTTTGCTCTGCTCTTCGCTCTACTCGGCAGGTGCAGGGGCTGGGAGGCCTGGCATCATCTTCATGTGACTTCAGCTGTTCAGGTGGTGCCTGTGTTTCCTCAACCTCAGGTGCTTCTTGGCTTTGTGTCTCCCGAGGCTGACACTCCACAGGTTCTGCTGGAGCAGCTTCATCAGAGTCAGTGTCTGAGTCCTGGGCTATGACAATCGCCTACTCTAAAGATTCTGGGGAGCTTATATCTCAAAGCAATAAAAACATACCAAAAGCAAAGATACATCACATCATGCACCCGAAGTAAATTGGTACCACCCCCAGCAGTTGCCTCCAATTAAGTAGCACCCTCAGCCCCACTCATTGGAAAATCACTTTCTTCATTGCATTCCAGAATATTAGCAGGGAAGGGGCCCTCCTAACCTCCGGAAGGCAGGCTGTTCAGAGTAATACAAATGTTGTTTTAAGTGCAATACATCAAGCTGAATAAATCACTGCTGCCTTGCGGGTTGAACAGCCAGTAAGGCTACTGAAGCAGGGAAGAAAATAAGCCTCTCACCCCTCTGCTGCTTCATGGGCTGTGCGCCCCCAAGGCAGTGGTTACGTGGCCCAGCTGCTAGCTAGTGGAATTGCTGGGCAGCAACAGAGGGCTGTGTACCAGGACGTGGAGGGGATGCAAGAGACAGTCACAGCACACAAGGGGGAGGGTGTTGGCGGCATCTGTCTGCCCTTTTGTGATGTTTTGCTGGCCCTTGCTCTGAGGTCCGAACAGATACTTTCCCTGATGTCCTGTTCAAGCACTTTTCATTGAAAGGGCGACAAGTGAAGCTCTGGATTGACTGAGCGAGGCTTCCTGTGTTTCATTTAGGTGGCTCTCCTTGCCCTCCCAGGCCGAACAGGCTGTGATGTCGTTATCAAGCACTGCCTGCCCGTTGCTACTGACTTTGAGAGACCGGCTCCTCCAGTTAGAGCAGCAGCTTTGTTTTTCCTTGTTCAAAATCTTCTGGCAAATGCTTGCGGAGAACGTGGATTTGTTCATCTATCAGGACGTAAGTAACTTTAGTTTATTGCTGGTGCTTTAGCAAAAAATATGCTAGTAATTTTAAATAGTGCTCACCTTTTATCTATATGCAATATGTTTAGGTCATTCTAGCCAATCACTTCAATGAAGGAGGAGCAGCACAGCTCCAGTTTGATATGACTCGGAATCTTTTCCCTTTATTTTCACATTATTGTAAACGGCCAGAGAATTATTTCAAACAGTGAGTATTGCCCATCTCACATTCTTGTTTATTTCAGAAGTTGAATATGGGAATCAAAGTTTTCTTTTTAGTTTTTGAGAGAGGGATTAACCAGGTGTTCTGCCCCTCGCTCTTTTTTCTATGTCATGAGAATATTTTAAGCAGATTTTCCTCATTTCCCTTTCATTTGCATTCTGTCCAAGCCCTTGCAAATTGCCATTTATTTGTGGATCAGCTGGGAAAAAAGTAACGTATAAGAGGATGAAGAGGTCAGGCTTATGTGAATCAGACTCACTTATAGACCTGGGTACATTCTTCCTGAACGGGAGAGGATTCTCTCAGTTCTAGCTCTGCTTAGATCAAGAGATTAGCAGAACTCCAGCACTCTTTACTTCTGAGAGTATGCATTCCCCAATAATGATTAAAAAAGTATTTTTAAAAGTACAAAAAGAGAACTTTCTGCATACTTTTTAGCACATTTGCATTATATTCAGTGGGTGGTTTGGTCTTTTTTTAGACGAATATATCAATTTTTAAAAGTTCTCAGAATCGAGTAAGATTTTTGCCATGTGGCATGAAAAGCTTCTGTGTGACAAAAAACCTAAAGTTGTCTTGGATGAGGGAGCTGTGGTTGTATTGCTCTGTGAAACTTACCCAAATTTAGAAATGGAATGTTTCTGTTTTCCTGTCTAGCATCAAAGAGGCTTGCATTGTACTGAATTTAAATATTGGTTCAGCCCTGCTCTTAAAGGATGTGCTACAATCAGCCACTGAAACCAGAACTGGAATCACCTTTAATTCAAATCAACCTACTGCAGTGGCAGCACTAAATGAACTTGGAATTTATAAGTTAGCTCCAACGGATGTTGAGATTCTTCTTAATTTGAGGACAAATTGGCCTAATACTGGCAAATAAACAAGGCAATAGAATGGAGAGGCTCTAATTGCTATTACATTCTTTAGAGGTTACCCCAGACTTTCTATGCTCATGTGATGTTGAGTATATTGCCTTTGAAAGAAAAACATACATTAAAAAAACCCTGAAAACTAAGCAACTATATATTCACAGTTTCAAAGAAACAACTGTAATTTGATAAAGTCTGTTGGCTATTCTGTTCAGTTGCAAGTTACTGGCTATGCCATTGTGACACCTTTCATTTTCTCAGTTGACTGTGGTGATCAAGTGAAATGCTTTTAAATAAAGAATATATTCTAACATATATTCCATATTATAGAAATAATAATCTTAGAGGAACAAATGGATTATTGTAAAAAAAATTCTGAGAGGAGATAGACCAGTTCCACCTTATTGCCTGCTGTGATGCTCAGATTAATCTTGTTTAGCTGGATTAGAGTGTCTTTCCACAAGGACTCTGAACCTTTGTGTTACCAAGATTGTGATCTGAAAGGCATTACTTGGGGGGAAGAAGAGCAGAATCATTCTACTTTTTTTGAATAAAATAACCATGGTGATGACAAAAAGAACAAAAGGGATGAGCAACCTTGCACGCCATTCAGTGGCAAATTTTACTTATTTTGGCCCCTAATGTTAGCATATTTCTAATACAGATAGGATAAAGGCTTTGCAGAAATTTCCAGATGTGCAGATTTTTAAATATACTCTAAATATGGAAAAGAAATGTGATTGGTTTCCTCGTTTTGATTAGATTGGGGTCATAATAGCAATTACGTTGCAATGGGTAAACTATTCATAATGAGTATCATTATTTTTTCTGATGGAAAAGGTTAGAACTAAAAGAGCAGTTTAATCTGTCTCATTGAAATAAAAGGACTAAAAAAAGCTTAGTGCGGGCTAATACTTCCAGTGTTTATTTAGCAAATTCGGTATTATAACAGTTTCGAAGATTTTGGAATACAGGAAAAGGAGAGATTTCATATCTACTTCAATGATGGTACAGTTAGTCCACGTGAAGGCCATTATATATAAATGAAATTGCTAGTTTTTTCAGAAAGTTAAATATATATATAAAATATTTCAGATGAGAATATTCAGGATTAAAATACTTCCCACAGTTCAGCAAATTTTTTCATCCTGTGGGGGAAACAAAGATATATAACATATAAGCAACGTATAAACAATTGTATCTTCCCCATTACAGCGGTCTAGTTAAGGGATTAATAGTGCATCTGCAGTAAGCACACAAATATACAATTTCTGCATGTGTATATTACACATGTTTTCATGTTAATGCTTAAAATTACCTTGAATTATTTTTATTTGTTGATTTGTTATTATAACATCCATTATTTGAGCCAAAGTTCACTTCTCATGTATGTATATAGAGACATAAATTCCCTATAAAGCAATGACAGGTAACCTTTTGGTCACTGGTGGCAATCTTTGAACATTTTATGGAGGTGCAGATCAGAATGGAAGCAACTATGATGTAAACAGAACAGGATTATCTATTTTTCCTCAGTTGGAGGGAGAGTTTTAGGGAGTTCTTTTGTTTCTTTTTAAGTGTTTTTATATATTAGCTTTTGTATGTTTCTTGCCTCAAAATGGCAGAACAGAATGCCAGTAATTTTTGGCAATCACAAATGAAAGAGTTTGGATGTCATGGATTGTCCATCCTGTTCTAAAGTTTACTTACAAATTTCATTTATTGCAAGAACTTAATCAGTGAAATAATATGTAGTTTACTTTGTCAGTCTTGTGTCTAAAAACAGTATCAGGAAGAGACTAGTAATATTTTAATAATTATAGTGTAGCTTGTTTGGAAAATTAAGGGGAAGAACTATTTGATACCTTCTTACTTTTGACTTTCTGTTCCTAAATTCATAGCTTTATCAGCAGGTAATCTCCTGAGGAACAGTGGATTTTAGACACATGTGCATGTCCAAACATTATCTCAGTCTGAATGCTGGAGACAGAATCAGGTACAAAAGAGTGGCTGGGACAATTCAGGATATAGTGTTGGATTTAGTGGTGTATGTGGTATATATATGTCTGCATTTCCACATAAAATGTAACATCCTGGTTCAACTTACACATTTTCCTTGAAGACAGCTGGTGTAATTAGTTCATTTTCTTCATAAATTACATCCTGACTGCTCAATCCCAAAGATTCAAGTGCTAAAACATAAGAGAGAAACTAGTTTTTTTCTGAATGGACTGTTGCAGTGTGCGCCATACTTAGTATAACCCTATGCATATCTGCTCAGAAAGAAGCTTCTAAATTTGATTACAGCCTACATTCTTAGACCATTTATTTCATGTTTAAATTGCTGCAGTCATGTGACTTTCAGCAAAAGTCACAGCTTGGTGACCCATCTGTTGGGAATCACTTAGCTGGATTCACACATCATGCTAAGCAGTGGCTTGCTGAATATACCACAGTTGGCTAGATTCACACAACACTTTATTCTATAAACTGATTTCCAAATTAGAGTGGCTGGGTTCATGGAAAGTACTAAGCCAAAATCAAACAAGCAATTTTTGGGGTTACTATGGTATGCAAACCCATTCTCTACTGGCTGGGAGTAAATTTCAACCCAACAAGAATAGTAGGTGTATAGGCATGTTTTCCAGCATCACTATATGGGAAACCTAACAGAAATCACTATATTTATTTGAGTAAGGACCCTTCCTTGTTTGCAGCTATAAATAGAGAAGTCAACAGAAACTGATCATGGATTAGACAGAACTTATGCCTAAATATGTACAGAACTACACAGTTCACACATTGCTTATTTTTACAGCAAACAGATGGAGGCAGATAGAAAATGTAAAATACTGATTTAGCTTATGTTTAGATTCAGCTTTTTATAATCTTTATATATTCAGCTCTCATTGTAATATATTACTAAATGGCAGAAAAAATTAAAAGTGCATTAAATACATTAAAAACAGCAAGATAATTATGTAAAGTAGCTACAAGTGTTTCTATAGAATCATCCTGAGCTTTCTGTTAGCACAAAGGACCTTTTTTTTTTTTACATCATTTGCCATTCCTGGCACAAGGAAAAACATACTTATATTCTGTCATGATCAGAACAAAGGAAAGTTAAGCTGGCTTAAATATATGCCTCACAGGGGTTCTGGTTTATTCTTTTCTATTCCTTATATTGTCCCCCCCCCCTTTTTTTTTTTGCCTACCCTTATCAGCTGCAGGAAATAATCTCAGCTAAAAGTCTCAGGGTGGAACAGAGATGACTCTGTTATCATCCTGCTGATCTGCAGTGCTTCTGCTAAATTTCTGCTTTCTCGCCCAGGGTGAGAGCCTTGGCGGTTTTATGGTACACCAGTGTAGCAATCTAAAATCCCCTGAGAAGGAAGTTCATATTTTCCTAAATGACCCTTCCCTGTTTGTTTACTGGAAGATGCATCATAAATTGTGATACTGTGTAAAGTGCACCTTGCTAGCCAAGTTGCCCAGGTATTTACAAACAAATCAGTACAATTTTTGAATGTACATTCTAAATACGCAGAAGAAATTATGCATTTTAAACATTGTATAGTACAAATTGAAGAATTTAAACTATCATTACATTTATTTCAAAATTGATACTATTTTTGAGGTTTTCTGTTTAATGTATCTTAACATCTTGTCAAGGCAGAAATAAAAAGATGAAGTTCATAAAATATGAAGAAACACTAACCTCCTTTGTACTGTGTTACATTTATGTAGCCTTGGCCTGCAATATCTAGCATTTCAAACATTGCATCCAAGTTTGACTCATCCATAAGATTGGGATAACCTGTATTAGTTACTTTTGCAAGCTTTACTTTTTCCAATGTCTTTATCAAAAAATCTCTTGGTCTTTCTGAAAAACAAAAGATTGTTCATGTTGTTACCCACTTTAAAGCATATTTTGTTCTACGCCGTCCAGAGTCGCCTGTGGTGAGATGGGTGGCTATATAAATTGGTTTAATAAATAAATAAATATTGTTAAGCATTTCGAAGCTAACCGTTCTTTTTCATTAAAATGATTTGATTAAAGTGTTTTGTAGTGTTGGCCTAACCCTTGGGTTTGTAATTTAAAAATTGTAAGTAAACATATGGAAGACTAGATAAAAAAGGGGGAAAACTCTGGAAAGGAAAAGGAAAAAAAGCAACGGTATCAGAACTTTTCAATTACACAACATGTTGCTGACATTGTAAGAGCCATATTTGCCAATGGTAGCAAAAATGAAAAGGATCTATAGCATCTTTTCATACTAACAAATTCATAAAACTTCAAGAGGAATCAAATAGAATTTAAATAAAATATTGTAATGTTCAACAACAAGCTAATATGACCATCAGTGCTTTGATGTCTGCCGGGGTGCCAGAAGCTTCTTGGTCTCTTTCAACCTTGTATTTTTGCACTTCCAAGAAGACAGTAATACAAAAGACAACAGCTGTAGAAGAGAAGATCCGGAAGAGAGGTTGCTACAATTTGTCCCTTATTTGTACAAGAAAATTATTTGCTTGCAGTATAACAGCTTCCAGGGAGGTGACGTGTGGTTGGGTTTCAGCAGTGGTAAATTCTTTGAGAGAGGGGATGGTACCCGCGCCCCTTGAAGAGGCATGGGCCCACCCTCTCCTCAAGAATCTTCCCTTCTTAGGGAAGATGGTTGAGAAGATGGTCATGCAACAGCTTCAGAGCGTCCCGGATGAAGCAGATTATCTGGACTCCTTTCAGTCAAGTTTCAGTCCTGGGTATGGGACTGAGACAGCGTTGGTTGCGCTTTTTGATTATCTCTGGCAAGAGTGGGATGGGAGAAGTGTGTCCATCCTTGCTCTTCTTGACCTGTCAGCCACTTTTGATACCGTCAACCATGGTATCCTTCTGGACTGGCTGCAGGAGTTAGGAGCAGGTGGCATTGTATTGAGCTCTCTTCCTTCTTCGGTGGCCAGTTTCAGTCAGTGTCAGTTGGGGGCGAGAGGTCCCACCCTTGGCCCCTAAAATATGGCATGCTGCAGGGTTCGATACTCTTTCCGCTCCTATTTAACATCTACATGAAGCTGTTGGGTGAGATCGTCCATAGCCATGGGGTGGGGTATCATCAGTACGCTGATGATACCCAGCTATATATCTCTGCCCCTGGTGAAGTAAGCAATGCTGCCAACGTCCTGCCTCGGTGCCTGGAGGCTGTAGGGGTTTGGATGGGGAACAACAGGCTTCAGCTCAACCCTGACAAGACTGAGTGGCTTTGGGTTTTGGGGCCACCTGGATCTAGGAATTTACCATCTTTGGTTCTGGATGGCATTGTACTTCCCCAGACAGACCTGGTGCACAATCTAGGGGTCCTTCTGGACTCACAACTCCTGCTTGAAGAGCAGGTGGCAATTGTGGCTAGGAGGGCCTTTGGATAACTTTGAGCTGTGCGCCACCTGCACCCATTCTTGGATCAGGAGGCTCTATGCTCAGTCACTCATGCCGTGGTCACCTCCCGTATGAATTACTGTAATGCACTCTACATGGGGCTGCCAGTGGAAGCTTCAGCTGATGCAAAATGCAGCAGCATGGGCAGTTATGTGTGCACCTAGATCTGTGCATGTTACACTTCTGCTCTGTGAGCTGCATTGACTACCAATTTGCTTCCAGGTCCAATTCAAGGTGCTGGTAATAACTCATAAAGCCCCATACATGGCATGGGGCCAGGTTACTTGAGGGACCACCTCTCCCCAGTGACATCTACCTGTCTCATCAGGTCCAGCAGAAAAAGCTTATGGGTTCCATTCTCTGTCCACTAGAGAACATCATCTGGTGAGACGCAGGAGGAGGCCTTTGCTGCTGCTGCACCCGCCCTATGGAACATCATTCCCCCCAAAATCAAGCTGACCCCGATCTTGCTGGCCTTCCAGAAGGGCCTGAAGACCTGGCTTTGCCATCTGGCCTGGGGATCAGAGAGTGGTGTGGAGCCCATAAAATGGCTGTACTGTTCTTGAATGTCTCTGCTCTCCCAATGACTATATTGTATTGTATGACTTTAAATTGTTTTTTTTTTAATGTTTGTTTTGTTTGTATGGCTGCTTTAGTTTTTGATTTTTTTGAATACTGTTTATGTTTTAATTGTAAGCTGCTCAGAGTCACAAATGTGAGATGGGTGGTTATATAAATTGAATGAATGAATGAATAAATAAATACATAAATAGGCAATGGCAGCACACAAGGCCTGGAACATTATAGCATGTGTAAAGGATTTTAAAAGTGCTTTTAGACCAAATTGCTAGTTACTACACAACCATTCTGAAAGAGTGTAGTTCTTAATAGGTTTTGGGGGAATAAAGGAAAAAGATTAATGTCATGATCTGGTCTCCCTGTGAAACTATGACTCAGGCAGGACAATGCAAAAGCTTTGCCTGAAAGAACTGAAAGAATGAGAGGAAGGTTTTGTTTTTTTCTGTGATGGCAAGGCTGTGCCCCATCATCATTTTGTATAAGAGTAGACTGATAGTGGAAGAAAGGGCCAGTGGAACACAAAGGGTCTGTTTTTATCAGGTACAAACATGGTTACTTGGTAGATTTGCTTATTTTGGTAATTAAGGGTAGAGTTAGAAGGCAAGTCATTCTTAAGCAGTGTAACTCCTTATACACAATGATGTTAGTGTTTAGAGCACTAAAAGAGTGATTCAATATGGTTGAATATGGGCTTTGAACCTAGTCTCTCCAGCCCCCTAGCCGATACCTCACATTGGATCTTATAACCATCGTCTGCAGTTGGCAGTAGACATCCGAAGGGGATCAGGCTGAGGAAAATGAAATCAGTTAAGATATATCTGATTTGATAAAAATATGGCTGAGTCTATCCATATGCCCTTTAATTAC